GCAGAGAAGCAATGCCTTCTTTTAAAGAAAACTTCTGTAGAATGATTGGGTAGGGGAGAATACAAAACCAGTTTTCTCTTCATTTCTTAAAAATCAGCAGCTCAGGAGGGGAACCAAGATGGTGGCGTAGGTAAATGCTGGCACTCGCCGCCTCCCACAACCACATCAAAATTACAACTAAAATACAGAACAACCATCATTCAGAACTGCCTGAAAGCTGGCTGAATGGAAGTCCTGTAACTAGAGAAGTAAAGAAGAAAGCACGTTGAGACTAGTAAGAGGGGTGGAGGTGCCAAGCGGGCTGGGCTGGCACCCACATGGGCTTCAGAGGTCGCCCTGAGGAGCAAAGGGTCCCAGCCCCACACCACACCCCCACCCAGGGTCCCAGAGCTGGGAAGAGAAGCCCCCATAACTTCGGGCTGTAAAGACCAGTGGGGATTGTGGCTGAGAGACATGGTGGCTGCTGGAGACCCAGGTGTCCCTCTTAAAGGGCCCTGGCACCAACTTATGCAGACTCGCTTCCTCTGAGCTCCAGCGCCTGGAGGCGTTGGGGGAACCAGACACATATGGGGAGGAAGGGATTGTCTGGCATTGGGACAGGAACTTGGGGAAGGCTTTCTACCAGACGGAGGTGCTGGCAGGGGTTATTGTTCCTAGGCCGAGACCTCCCCTGTCCCAGGCCTGACTGGCAACCATATCTGAGTCCCCATCAACCTGGAGCACACTGTTTACTCCACCTGGTGACTCCCTAAGACCCCATCCAATTTGCAGCCCCACCTAAACTGTTTGTAGCAGCTTTTCCATATAAAAGGCCTGTCCTGGCTCAGGCTTCAGACTTTGCTAAAATCTTTCAAACAAGCTGCAGCTGGTGTCAGCATGCCCCAAACCTATCAATAAAAGGCCCAAGACCAGGTACCAGCAACAGCCTATCTGACTTCACAGTTGGGCCTCATCTAGGCACTTCCAAACCCGATACAAATAGAAGGAAGTTGCAGATCTCTCTGTAGCTCCTGCCAGGTGGCCCTGGGCAGTAGCTGACTTTGCACCTCCCTGGAGGCCCTAGAGCCATTGCACCCGGTGGACAGCTTCAGACCATATCAGATTACAACCCTACACATCCACAAGTGACACACTCAAGGGGCAGACTCAGTGAATACCAAAGCCCCACTGAAGCAAGTCCTGCTCCATAAGGGTGTTTCCTGCACAGCAGCTCTTCCACTGTAGTCACAGCTGGTCCTCACAGCCAATTGGCCTGGAGGTCAATTCCTCCCAGTGACGCCAACAGCAATCAAGTCTCAACTACAACTAGACTGTGCACATGGCCCACAAAGGGGCCCGCCTACAGTGCCCAGCTCAGGTGACTGGGGAGGCTGAGCCACTGGGCCCTACAGGACACCTACCACACAAGGCCACTCTACCAACTCCAGGAGACATAGCAGCTCTACCCAATACACAGAAACAAACACAAGGAAACAGTCAAAATGCGGAGGCAAAGAAACATGCCACAAAAGAAAGATGGAAGAAAGCAAAACTACCAGATACAGAGCTCAAAACAACAGTTATACGATTACTCAAGGGTCTTCATGAGACCTTCAAGGGACTTGGTGAGACTTTCAAGGATCTTACACAGGGAAGTTAGTTTTCAGCAGAGCTCATCTTTAAAAAGGGTCACCATAGTTGGGACAAAGGTGACCCTGAGAAAGGAAGAATCAGTGTATCAACGATGAGGCTAATGGGAAGAGTAGCAAAAATGTCTTCAGCCGTGTCAAACCCTGTGCACAAACCCAGAGCACCCAACATCCCACCGAGAGAGAAGGGAGCTCATTCCTTCCCTCCCTGATACTTCCCTCACACCACACACCGGACTAGAGGCCCCACCGCCCTCCTTTAGTGATGCCTGTTCTTTTGAGAGTGCAAGAGGTTAGGGAGCTGCTCCCATTTACCAAGTCCTATTCCACGCCCAGGTGTGGCATCTCATTCATTCTCACCTCAACCTCAAGGATACCCAGGTGCAGAGGAGGAAACTGAGGCAAAGAGAGATGAACTCAGCCATCCTGGGGCCTCTATAATCCCCATCCTGGGGATTTAAACTGTGCTCTTAACCACAAGCTATGCGGCCTACTCGATTTAAACCTCTGAAAGGCAAGCGTCACGTTCTGGCTTTGGGCACCTCCAGGGAAGGCTACCGTGTCTGGATGGAACTGAACCGCTGACAGAGAACCTGCCTGGGGAGTGACAAGGGGCATCCGGAAAGGGTTAGTTTAAAATGTTGCTCAGCTGGAGGCGGAGGTGTTGAGCGAAACTGTACAGAAACGCCGTCTGGCATAATCCATCACACACCCCGGTGTGTGTGTGTGTGTGTGTGTGCGCACTTCCTCGCATCTAAGTCAACAAACGGCCTCCTAGGCACACAACAGGGTGCTAGGCACCCGGAGGGGACGGGGTTATTTTCTCAGAACCTGGTGACCTAGGTGGACGATGGGGGGCTCATCTCAGGCCCGGGACTAAGGAAGGTCACCTCGCCACGTGAAAGAGGTGACCGGTCCATTCCCGGGTGGAAAGGGGGAACCCCTCCCCGACCGGAGTTCAATCGCTAACCACCCCACTCCCCTGTCGGCCACGGGGGCACACTCACTCGGTTGCACAGCATCTCCTAAGTGCTACTCAGATCCAAGTCCCATGGTCTCAGACCCTCAGCTCCCAAGCTCATGGCTCCACGGATGCAGTGGAGTTGTGCAGAACAGGGCAAACCTATGACTATAGGCTGGAGCAATCGGCAAGTTTACCAGGGCGCCTGCAAAACTTTAAGCCTATGGGGTAAAAGAAATCGCCAGTCAGGCCACCTATTGGCTACTTGGATTGGCAGTCTGTGGGTCTATGGGCGGGGAAAGGAAGCATGCCAGAACGATAAGACCCAGCATGCACTGGGAAGGACCCAGGGGCATGGGGGCACCTCTGGTATCCTTGTGGTGCCAACTCCTGGATCTCCCAGGTAACGCTGGTCCAGGTGTAAGGGACAATCAATGGGTCTGCGCTGCCTGTCACTACCTGAACCAATTAAGCAGAGACAGGATTGAATCATATATGAGCATTTATTCCAATACTGGCCGGCAGCAGGTCAAGCACAGAAATCTCTCTCTACCCCGCCCCCACCCCATAAGCCAGCTGCTTATATTGGGTAGAAGGACAAAGATTACGTGGGGAAGTAGGCAAAAGGCATGCCAAATGGGCAGTTTACAGGTCTGGAGATTTGCAAAAGCATGTGGGTATGCAAAGGCTGGAGGTCTTCAAAGGACTAGTGACATACAAAGGGCTGGGGACCTTTAAAGGGCTTAGTGATATGCAAAGGGTTATGGGTCTTCAAAGGGCTGGTGATTCCAGTTTCTGCAACAAGGTGTTTAAGGTTATTTTTCCATGAAAATGGCAGCTCCCTGATGGGGAGGATGGACTGCATTTCCAGGTGAGCGCCCAGGTCCCACATGCAATGCCCAGCCAGGTTAGAAAGTGCTTTCTTTAATCAGAACAAAACAATCATGGTTAACAGAGCAAGATTAATATTTCTTACAATTACAACTGGTCCCCAATATTCTATTTCTGCCCCTATCACAGGAAGTCTTGCACTTTGCCATTTCTTCATTCAGCTATGTCTTCCATACAGGAAGTGTGATTGACAACTGGAAGGTGTTTCACAGGAAAGCGCAACAAAATCTTTATATGTTTGCGAGGCTGTTGTAGCAAAAGCACCATAGACAGAGTGGCTTAAGTGACAGAAACGTATAGTCCTCACACTTCTGAAAATCGGAAGTCCGAGATCAAGAACTGCAGCAGGGTGGTCTTTTCTGAGAGCTGCGAGGGAGAACCGGTTCCAGTCCGCTCTCCTGGCTTCCAGTGACTTGGCAATACTGGCAAACCCGATCTTTCTTCCTTCACAAAGACGCAGAGGCTGCAGGAGACCCAAATGTCCCTTTAAAAAAAAAAAAAAAAAAATTATTGATTTTTTTTACAGAGAGGAAGGGAGAGAGATAGAGAGTTAGAAACATCGATGAGAGAGAAACATCAATCAGCTGCCTCCTGCACACCCCCTACTGGGGATGTGCCCGCAACCAAGGTACATGCCCTTGACTGGAATCGAACCTGGGACCCTTCAGTCCACAGGCTGATGCTCTATCCACCGAGCCAAATCAGCTAGGGCCAAATGTCCCTCTTAAAAGGCCCCGGCATGAACTTAGACTTGCTTCCTCTGAGCTCCAGTGCCGCCTGGAGGCATTGGGGGACCCAGACACATGGGGAGGAACTGGATTGTCTGGCATCGGGGCAGGAATTCAGGGATGGCTTTTTACCAGGCAGCGGTGCTCTTGTTTTGGTGGTGGTAATAGTGAGGAATTGGATTAGTAACAGAAGAAAAGAGAACCATAAATATCAAAAAGGGAAATCTTCCCCCAAAGAATCTTAATTACTGTAAAATATGCCTTTTATATTTCATGCCTCTGACTTTTAGCAAACTTCAAAATCAAAGTCTTGCCCACTGGTGTGGCTCAGCAGTTAAGCATCGACCCATGAACAAGAGGTCGCTGGTCCGATTCCCAGTCAGGGCGCATGCCCAGGGTTGTGGGTGAGGTGCTGGAGGCAGCAAATCGATGTTGCTGTTTCTCTCTCATTGATGTTTCTATCTCTCTCTCCCTTACTCTCTCTCTAAAAATCAATAAAAACATATTTTTAAAAATCAATAAAAACATTTTTTTAAAAAAAATCTTTACTCTTGCCAAAACCGGTTTGGCTCAGTGGATAGAGCGTCGGCCTGTGGACTGAAAGGTCCCAGGTTCGATTCCGGTCGGGGGCATGTGCCTAGGTTGCGGGCACATCCCCAGTGGGAGATGTGCAGGAGGCGGCTGATCGATGTTTCTCTCTCATTGATGTTTCTGGCTCTCTGTCTCTCTCCCTTCCTCTCTGTAAAAAATCAATAAAATATATATATAAAAAAAATCTTTACTCAGGCTAAGATATGTTAAAGCAGGTATTTCCCCACCTTTATCAGGACAGGCATACCTTGGAGATATTGCAGGTTCGTTCGGTTCTAGACCACCACAATAAAGCGAGTATTACAATAACACAAGTCGCACACAGTTTTTGGTTTCCCAGTGCATATAAACAAATGTTTTCACTATACTCTCGTTTATTAAGTGTGCAATAGCATTATGTCTAAAAAAATATGTACTGTACATACCTTAATGAGAAAATACTTTATTGCTAAAAAATGCTAAGCTTCATCTGAGCCCTCAGCGAGCCATAACCTTTTTGCTGGCGGAGGGTCTTGCCTCAGTGTTGATGGCTGCTGGCTGACCAGCGTGGTGGCTGCGGAAGGCTGGGGCAGCTGTGCCAATTTCTTGTTTTTTGACAGATCCTGCCTCAGGTTTATTTGTTCAAATAGCAAAGGAGGACACCAGCTCCATGCAGACAGCAACCCAGAGGTCCCACCAGTCCTTCCGTCCTCACATCACATCGGCAGACAGAGGCCTCTACTGTGGAGCTTTCGTGGGGGCCTGGGCACCTTTGGGAGCGGGAGCCTGAGCTGCAACTGCACCCACAGCCTGGGGCTTGGTTTTGGCCTTGGCCTTGGCCTTTGGCCGGCAGAGCCTGAGCCCCTTGGCAATGTGGGCACGAGCACGTTTCCCAAGCTTGGGGTGAGCGATGTAGGCAAGTCGACTGAGCTTGCTGCTGCTGCTGCCCTTTGAGATACTGGGCCTGACCTCCTTGGGCTTGACGAGGGCCTTGATGGCCTTGGCACATGCGCTGGGGGCCTTGGCGTTGTTGGCCTGCATCTTCTTCAGGCCCTTCTTGTTGTGCTTCTTGGCAAAGTGCATGCTCCTTAGGAACTTGGGGTCTACCTCCTTAAGAGGTTCATATCTTTGTGATGGGGGTTTCTTGATGCTGTTCCTGTGCCATTTTCGGGACTGGTTGTGCGTGGTGTGGTTCTTGGACTTGGCCACCTCTGCACCGAAGCCCTCGGCTCCCAAAGTGCCTGGCCAATTTCTTAAAATAAGGCAACAGTGAAGTTGGCCACATTGACTGACTGTTCCTTTCACAAATGGTTTCTCTACAGCAGGTGATGCTGTTTGATCGCGTATTAACCACAGTAGAACTTCTTTCAAAATGGGAGTCAATCCTCTCAAACCCTGCCCCTGCATTAGCAACTGAGCTTATAGAATATTCTAAATCCTTTGTTGTCATTTCAACCATCTTCCCAGCGTCTTCACCAGGAGTAGATTCCATCTCAAAATACCACTTTCTTCGCTCATCCGTAAGAAGTAACTCCTCATTTGTCTCATCACGAGATTTCAGCAATTCAGTCCTATCTTCTGGCTACTAATTTTCTGGCTCTTTCTTTTTCCCACCATACCTGCAGTTACTTCCTCCACTGAAGTCCTGAACCCCTCAAAGTCATCATGAGTGTTGGAATCAACTTCTTCCGAACTCCTGTTAATGTTAATATTTTGATTCTTCCCATAAATCGCAAATGTTCTTAATGGAATACAACATGGTGAATCTTTTCCAGGTTTTCAATTTACGTTGCCCAGATCCATCAGAGGAATCACTAACAATGGCAGCTATAGACTTATGAAATGTGTTTATTTAATTGGGTTGGGTTTGTTTTTTTTTCAGAGAGGAAGGAAGAGAGAGAGAGAGAGAGAGAGAGAGAGAAACATCGATGTGAAAGAGAAACATCGATCGGTTGCCTCCCGTACCCACCCCCAGACCCGGAACAAAACCGCAACCTGGGCATGTGCCCTGACAGAATCAAACGGGCAAACTTTCGGTGCAAGGGATGATGCTTAACCAACTGAGCCACAGTAGCCAGGCCTGAAATTTGTTTCTTAAATAATAAGACTTGAAAATCAAAATTACTCCTTGACTCATGGGCTGACAGAATGAATGTTGTGTTCCATGAATACAACATTAATCTCCTTATACATCTCCATCAGAGCTCTTTGGTGTCCAGGTGCATTGTCAATGAACAGTAATATTTTGAAAAGAATCTTTTTTTTCTGAGCAGTAGGTCCCAATAGTGGGCTTAAAATATTTAATAAACCATGTTGTAACCAGATAAACTGTCATCCAGACTTGATTGTTCCACTGATAAGGCACAGGCCAAGTACCTTTGGCATAAATCTACTTAAGGGCTCTAGGATTTGGGGAATGGTAAATGATCATTGGCTTCAATTTAAAATCACCAGCTACATTAGCCCCTAATAAGAGAGTCAGCCTTCCCTTTGAAGCTTTGAAAGGCAATGGCTTCTCTCTAGCTATGAAAGTCCTAAATAGCATCTTCTTCCAGTACAAGGCTGTTTTGCCTACATTGAAAATCCATTGTTTAGTGTAGATGCCGTTATTAATGATCTCAGCTAGACCTTTGGATAACTTGCTGCAGCGTCTACATCAGCCCTTGCTGCTGCACCTTGTACTTTAAAAATTATACATATATATGTTTTTATTAATTGTAGAGAGAGGGGAAGGGAAAGAGAGAGAGAGAAACATCAATGAGAGAGGAGCATCATTGATTGGCTGCCCCCTGTACGCCCCCTATTGGGAATGGAGACCCCAGCCTGGGCAGTGCCCTGACCTGGAATCAAACTGGAGACTTCTCTTCTCGGTGCATGGGACACTCAACCAGAGCTGTGCCTTGCACTGTTATGTATGGAGACGGCTACTTTCCTCAAATCTCATAAACCAACTTCCATCTTCAAACTTTCCTCCTGCAGCTCTCACCTCTCTCAGCCTTCATAGTATTGAAGAAAGCGAGGGCCTTGCTCAGGATTAGGCTTTGGCTTGAGTGCTGTGGCTGGTGTGGCCTTCTATCCAGACCACGACAACTTTCTCCATATGAGCGATAAGGCTGTTTCTCTTTCTCATCACTCATGTGTTCCCTGAAGTAGCACCTTTAATTTCTGTCAGAAACTTTTCCTTTGTGCTCAAACTGGTGTTCTCAGTGGCTAGAGCATCAGCCCACACACCAACGCATCTCGGGTTCAAGTCCTAGTCAAGGGCATGTACCTGGGTTGCAGGTTTGATCCCCGGCTCCTGTTAGAATGACTTATTTAAAAAACAAAAACAAGAAATAACAAATGTTGGCACAGATGTGAAGAAAAGGGAATCCTGAAGCACTATTGGTGGGAATGTAGAATTAAAAACAGTCTGGGACAGCCACTTGGCCTGGAGGTCAAACCCTCCCTGGTATTAGCTACAACAATCAAGGCTTAACTACAAGACTGCGCACAAAGACCACTGGGGGGTGCACCAAGAAAGCATAACAAAATGCGGAGACAAAGAAACAGGACAAAATTGTCAATGGAAGATATAGAGTTCAGAACCACACTTTTAAGGTCTCTCAAGAACTGTTTAGAAGCCACCGATAAACTTAATGAGATCTACAAGAAAACTAATGAGACCCTCGATGTTATGATGGGGAACCAACTAGAAATTAAGCATACACGGACTGAAATAACGAATATTATACAGACTCCCGACAGCAGACCAGAGGAGCGCAGGAATCAAGTCAATGATTTGAAATGCGAGGAAGCAAAAAACACCCACCCGGAGGGGCGGAATGAAAAAAGAATCCAAAAATGCGAGGATAGTGTAAGGAGCCTCTGGGACAGCTTCAAGCGTACCAACATCAGAATTATAGGGGTGCCAGAAGATGAGAGAGAGCAAGATATTGAAAACCTATTTGAAGAAATAATGACAGAAAACTTCCCCCACCTGGTGAAAGAAATGGACTTACAGGTCCAAGAAGCGCGGAGGACCCCAAACAAAAGGAATCCAAAGAGGACCACACCAAGACACATCATAATTAAAATGCCAAGAGCAAAAGACAAAGAGAGAATCTTAAAAGCAGCAAGAGAAAGAAACTCAGTTACCTACAAGGGAATACCCATACGACTGTCAGCTGATTTCTCAACAGAAACTTTGCAGGCCAGAAGGGAGTGGCAAGAAATATTCAAAGTGATGAATAGCAAGAACCTGCAACCAAGATTACTTTATCCAGCAAAGCTATCATTCAGAATTGAAGGTCAGATAAAGAGCTTCACAGATAAGGAAAAGCTAAAGGAGTTCATCACCACCAAACCAGGATTATATGAAATGCTGAAAGGTATCCTTTAAGAAGAGGAAGAGGAAGAAAAAGGTAAAGATACAAATTATGAACAACAAATATGCATCTATCAACAAGTGAATCTAAGAATCAAGTGAATAAATAATCTGAACAGAATGAACTGGTGATTATAATAGAATCAGGGACATAGAAAGGGAATGGACTGACTATTCTTGGGGGGGAAAGGGGTGTGGGAGATGCGGGAAGAGACTGGACAAAAATCGTGCACCTATGGATGAGGACAGTGGGTGGGGAGTGAGGGCGGAGGGTGGGGCGGGAACTGGGAGGAGGGGAGTTATGGGGGGAAAAAGAGGAACAAATGTAATAATCTGAACAATAAAGATTTAATTTAAAAAAAAACAAAATAAAAATAAATAAAATAAAAAAATAAAAAACAGTCTGGACCTACCCACCCACAAACACACACATCCACATCCACAAAAATAAATAAAAATAAAAACAGTATGGAGCTTCCTCAAAAAATTAGAAATAGAACTTCACAGTTCCAGCAATCCCACTTCTGGGTATATATCCTAAGGAGGCGGAACCACTATCTTAAGAGGTATCTGTACTCCCATGTTCACTGCAGTATTAGCCACAGTAACTAAGGCATGGAAACAACCAAAGTGCCCATCATCAATGGATAAACAGGTAAAGAAAATGTGATACACACACACACACACTGGAGGCCCGGTGCACGAAATTCGCGCATGGGTAGGATCTCTAGGCATGGCTGGCAATCAGTGTGGATCTGTGGGGTGACCAGTGGGGCAATCAGAGGGCCCCCCGCTGACACCGGCCTTGGCCGGCCTGGCACTGCCTGCTTGCCAACTTCGCCCCCCACCGCCGCCGCTAGTTGCCTCCCTCTGTGGGGCAACCAGTGGGGTGATTGGGAGGCCCCCTGGCACCCGCCTTGGCTGGCCTGGCACCTGCAGGCTGGGGGCAGCTCCTCCATTGAGCATCTTCCCCCTGGTGGTCAGTGAGCATCCTAGCAACCGGTTGTTCCACAGGTCATTCCACTGTTCAGTCAATTTGCATATTAGGCTTTTATTATATAGGACTAGAGGCCTGTGCACGAAAATTCATGCACTGGTGTTGGTGGGGTGGTCCCTCAGCCTGGCCTACCCCCTCTCATAGTCTGGGAGCTCTCAGGGGATGTCCTAATGATGTCCTTCTGATGTCCCTTAGGGAGCGGGCCAAAGCCGCAGTCTGGTCTCCCTCTGCAGGAGGTGACCTGGCTGATCAGGGGAAGGCGCTGCCCCCATCACCCTGCTGCTGCTGCCACTGCTGGCTGCGGTGGCTGTGAGGCCTGAGCCCTGGGCCTCGCAGCTGCCAGGGCTCACAGCTGCCTGACCCCCGGGCCTCACAGCCACTGTGGCTTTGTCCGGATGGACATCCGGAAGACGTCCGCCCTAATTAGCATATTACCTTTTATTAGTATAGATAATGGTATGTTATTCAGACATAAAAAAAAAATAAGGTAAATCCTGACATAACTTGGAAGGACGTGGAGGGCATTTTGCTAAGTGAAATAAGTTATACAGAGAATTCTAGCCAAATATTGTATGATCTCATTTATATGTGGAATCTAAAAACATCAAACTCAGAGTAGAATGATGGTTGCCAAGGGCTGAGGGGTGGGGGAAATGGGGAAATATTGGTCAAAAGGTACAAACTTCCAGTTATAAAATGAATACGTTCCAGGAATCTAATGTATGGCATGGTGATTATAGTTAACAATATTGTATTGTATATTTGAAATTTTCTAGGACAGTAGGGCTTTAATGAGCTCACCATAACAAAAACAACAACAAAATAATTACGTGAGGTGAAGGTTGTGTTAACTCACCTTAGTGTGGTAAACATTTCGCAGTATGTACATGTATCAAATCATTATATTGCAACACCTTAAATTTACGCATGTTATATGTCAATTATATCTGAATAAAGCTGGGGGGAAAGTACCTGATGGTTAAGATGACCTGTTTTAGTGGGACAGTGGGGACAGAAACCAGATTGGAAGGAGATGAAGAGTGAATAGGAGATTTTTAATTGAATATATGTAATTTTCTCTAACGCCTCCCAAATCCAACTAAAATTATTATAAAAGGAATAAAAAAGTCATAAATGTTAGAGGTATAAAAAAAGACAAAAAGAAAACAGATAACAGATCCTAATATTTTAGATGCTGGAGACCAGATAAATAAATGATATATAACTTAGAAGAGAAAAAAAAAGCTAAAACCTAATAGAAAGAAAACAAGGAAAAAAGATGATTCTCCTCTAAAATTACAGAAAGGTTCAGAAATTAGAGGCACCCTGGTACTGGCACAAGAACAGGCATATAGATCAATGGAATAGAACAGAGACCCCAGAAATCAATCTAAGCCATTATACTCAATTAATATTTGACAAAGGACAAAAAAGCATACAATGGAGTCAAGTCAGTCTCTTCAATAAATGGTGCTGGGAAAAATGGATAGATATGTGCAAAAAAATGAAACTAGACCACCAACTTACATCATATATAAAAATAAACTCAAAATGGAAAAAAGACTTAATGTAAGTCATGAAAACATAAAAAAATCCTAGAAGATACCACAGTCAGCAAAATCTCAGACATTTCTCATAGCAATATGTTTGTGGATACATCTCCTAGGGCCGTGGTCGCCAAACTGCGGCTCACGAGCCACATGCGGCTCTTTGGCCCCTTGAGTGTGGCTCTTCCTAAGCCTTAAGAGTACCCTAATTAAGTTAATAACAATGTACCTACCTATATAGTTTAGGTTTAAAAAATTTGGCTCTCATACGAAATTTCAATCGTTGTACTGTTGATATTTGGCTCTGTTGACTAATGAGTTTGCCGACCACTGTCTAGGGCAGGGGTGGGCAAACTTTTTGACTCGAGGGCCACAATTGGTTCTTAAACTGGACCGGAGGGCCGGAACAAAAGCATGGATGGAGTGTTTATGTGAACTAATATAAATTCAAAGTAAACATCACTACATAAAAGGGTACGGTCTTTTTTTTTTTAGTTTTATTCATTTCAAACGGGCCGGATCTGGCCCGCGGGCCGTAGTTTGCCCACAGCTGGTCTAGGGCAAAGGAAAAGGAGAGAATAAACAAATGAGACTACATCAAAATAAATAGCTTCTGCACAGCAAAAGAAACCATCAACAAAACAAAAAGGGAGCCCACTGTATGGGAGAACATATTTGGCAATGATACATCTGATAAAGGGTTAATATCCAAAATATATAAGGTACTCATACAACTTAACAAAAGGAAAACAAACAATCCAATTAAAAAATGGGCAAAGGCCCTAAATAGACACTTCTCCAAAGAGGACATTCAGAAAGCCAAGAGACATATGAAAAAATGCTCAGTCACTGATCATCACAGAGATGCAAATTAAAATGACAATGAGGTATCACCTCACACCTGTCAGACTGGCTACCATCAACAAATCAACAAATGACAAGTGCTGGCGAGGATGTGGAGAAAAGGGAACCCTACTGCACTGCTGGTGGGAATGCAGACTGGTTCAGCCATTATGGAAAACAGTATGGAGTTTCCTCAAAAAAATTAAATATGAGCCCTAGGCAAATGACCAGCTCAGTGGATAGAGCTTTGGCCTGTGGACTGAAGGGTCCCAGGTTCAATTCCGGTCAAGGGCACGCACCTGGATTGCAGGCTCCATCTCTGGGCCTTGTGCAGGATGCAACCAATCTCTCTCTCTCTTCCCCCCTCCCCCCTCCCATTCACTCTCTAAAAATCAATGGAAAAATATTCTTGGGTGAGGATTAACTAAAGATTAAATAAATAAATAAATAAATAAATAAATATGCCTGGCACTTGGTAAACACTCAATAGATGTTAGCTCCATTATGATTAATTACTCTCCTGTCCCCAGTGTGTATCTCTCTGGGTATTGTATAACCCAGATTTGGTGATGTGAAGTGAACATTTCCAAAAACTAGTATCTTAGTTACATTCAAAAGATACAAGTCAGAGGGGATGGGGCTTGGAGAGCTGAGTGAAGGGATTAGGCAAAAAAAGGAAAAAACTCAGACACACAACAGTATGGCGATTACTAGAGGGAAAGGGAGGGGGGAGGTGGAGCAGGTAAAGGGGGGATAAATGGTGATGGAAGGAGAGTTGGAGTGGTGACTACACAATATAATATACAGATGATGTATTATGTAATTGTACACCTGAAACCTATATAACTTTATTAACCAATGTCACCCTAATAAATTCAATAAAAATTTTAAGAATAGTTTATTGATTTTTAGAGAGAGAGGAAGGGAGAGGGAAAAGGAGAAACAGTGATTTGAGAGCCTAACATCAATGGGCTGCCTCCTGCTTGCCCCGTACTGGGGATGGAGCCAGAAACGCAGGCATGTGCCCTTGACCGGGAATTGAACCAGCAATCTCTTGGTGCACAGGACGAAGTCCAACCATTATTTTAAAAGACTCTGGCCAGTGTTGCTCAGTTGGCTGGAGTGTAGCTCCATACACCAAAAAGTGGTTGGTTCAATTCCAAGTCAGGGCGCATAAGGGAGGCAAACCATCCATGTTTCTCTCTCACATCATCTTTCTCTCTCTCTCTCCCCCTTCCTCTCTCTCAAATCAATAAAAAACATATCCTCGGGTGAGGATTAAAAAATGTTTTTAAGAAAAGATTATATGAGAACTAGGCAGACTAAATTTTATAACTAGAAATACCGAATAAGAAGTTTCAATCCAATTTCTTTTCATTCTCTGTCTTCCAAACAATCTGATTATTCAGAAATTCTTTTCATAACTTTCAATCTCCTGGAAATTGATGAACCATCTCTTTCTCTAGAAAAAAAGAAAACATAATAATACAGAACACCAAAGCACACTAGATACAAGACACCTCAACTCCCATTTCACTAGAGTCCTATTACTCTAAGAAATAGAAATGCATGTAGGAAAAAATGTGGGATTTTCATGCATCCTAAGATTTAACACCATTTCCCTGCTCTAAAAGTAGGCAGCACCAAATAAATTCTATTTTACATGAACTAATACAAAACTCTAGGTTTTTACAGTCTGTCCAAGTTGACAGCCATAGAGGTAAAATGACCCAGACTGTGAACTGATGTCAAAAGTTAATTATGAATTTGAGGGGGGGAAAGTTAATTATGTAAGTGTTGCTCAGTGGTTGGGCATCTGACCTATAAACCAGCAGGTCACGGTTCGATTCATGGTGAGGGCACATGCCGGGGTTGCAGGCTTGATCCCCAGTGTGGGGCGTACAGGAGGCAGCCAATCAATGATTCTCTCTCATCATTGATGTTTCTATCTCTCTCTCCCTCTCCCTTCCTCTCTGAAATCAATAAAAATATATAAAAATAAATAAAATAAAAGCTGTTGAGCAAAATATGATACTTTAAAAAAAATAAATTTGTAGAGGTCTTCGCCCAGGTTATGGCCCCGCTTCCGGAGATATGATGTGCCCACTAGTGCCCTCTAGGGGTTCCTTGGATGAGGATGTATTGGATGACTCCTTGCTGGGCCTGAGTGAAGAAGATGATGGCCATTTCAGCTTCACGGAGGAAGAGATAGAGAAGTACTTGAGGGATGATGATCTATCAGATGAGGACGAGGAAAATTCATTGGACAGCCTTGGACCAGTAGCTGAGACTCCTGGCCTCTTCAAATTACCTCCGAGTACATCAGTTGGTCAGGGACCAACTCCTACGAAACCATTAAACAGACCCTTTGCACTAGAAAAGAATCTTGTAAAATTAACAGTTGTTGCACCATTTAATCCAACAGCTTGTGATGTTGTGCTTAATAAGGACAAGACTGATACAGCCAAAGATATTGAAAAACCCTCTTCCCTTGGAGAAGGGATGAGAGAAGATGGTCTTAGCCCAAATCAGAGCAAACTTTGCACTAATTCTGAAGGGATCATCCCAAATAACTCTTCCTGGGATGGGCCCTCGCTCCTTTCTCCTTCAAGTAATAACTTTCAACAAACTGTCCCTGAAAAAAGTATGCCTGATAGTAAGAAACCTACACCTGTAATCACTCAGATCTTGGGCCATTCAGAGACTCCTCATTTAGGGTCATCCTGGAGAAATGGATCACATAAATCAAGTTGTGAAATGAAGTTTCCAGTTGTTACCAGTTCATCAAACAAAGATATTCTTGACAAGGATTCTGGGAAGCTGAAAGTTCCTGAGAGAATAGGCAAAGTCATTCCTGTTCTGCAAGCCCAAACAAGGACTAATGTTTCGACGTTTTCACAATCAGATCTAGAACGGAAGAAGCAAACTTACGTCAGGAGTGCTTTTGCTCATATAAAAGACTCAGTGGATTCTAACCAAGGTGTCTTGGTGGAACTGTGTTCTTTGATGGATCGAGTTCATCATATGCATAACCATCCGCATCCTTCGGACCTCACCATTCGAAACTATTCCCGGTTCCAACAGAAACCTCTGGAAGATACAGTCTGATTCAGTGGGTTAACAGGAGCGAGCGAAGCCACCAGCAGTTCCAGAGTCTCTAAGATATCCAGTACAGTCCGTGTGTCTCACCCCATTAGCAGTGAAAGTCCCTGTCCGGGTCCTGTCCAGAGCAGCATCTCATCTTCTGCTGTTTTGTGCTTGGCAGATTTTGAATTTTATTTTTCACAAGATTTTTATTTAAAGAATCTTTTGCCTTTTGGAAATGCCCACTGCCGACTTGAAATGTTTTGTATAATATCCTCCAGGCGTGCGTGTGTGCGTGCATGTGTTTAAGCAGTGTTAAGATGATACAGTTTTTATTTGTTTCTTTACAGCATAGCTAAAATTAATCATAGCTGGAATAAGTAGCATTGCAACTGTCTAGTTCCCCATAGATAACCCAAGTTCTGAAGAGACAGTGTTTTGCTTAGGCCAAAATCTAGGACTCATGTTCCTACCTTCCTGCTACAAAAGGGTTTAAGCCTGAATCTGTAATGGGAGCATCGCCTTTGCCAAATCATATGAGTGACAGGTTAACTATAAAATGTGACAATCACATTTCCTCTTTGCTCAAATAATTCTGTTTTTCCAAAGCTTTAGCAGCTTAATTAAATCTGTTGGACTGGAGGAGGAGAGAACTGTTCTCTAGCAGTTAACATAATATTCTTCAAGGAGAAAAAAATAGCCAAAGAAAACTCATTATTAGGCATGTCTGCCTTAAAGAAGCTGGTGGGTAAAATCTGGAGTTTTAATATGTTTTTAAAGATGCATATCTTACATTTGGTGTTGGCCTCTAAGTCTAGTATTTCATGTGGAATCGTTACTGTATTTTATGTTACATACATTTAACTGCCTACCTACCTTTCTTCATCCAGGATGACATTCTCACCACAAGGGGTATTGATAAAGCAGAGTAAAAATGTGTTTATGTAGTTTACTTAGAGGTAAAGAGCCAGAAATAACCTGCAATTTTCCATCTAATGCAGGCCCTGCTTTGAGTTTTTGTCAGGATCAGTTATGAAACAAGTCTGGTGCCTCCTCTTTATCATGGTTTTTCCCTTGTAGCAGTTATTTTTAATGTGATTAAATTTTTAAAAAAAATAATAAATTTGTAGTCCCTAGCTGGTTTGGCATTTTGTACAAACTTTTTATGTTTTTAACTCTGCTTGATTGCCCCACCTCTTGGACCCAGACTGTGAGCTCCTAGGAAGCAAACACCAAGTTTACTAATCTTTTTATCTTTAACTTCTAAACATACTTTATGCTCAGGAATGTTAGCTGAAAGAATACAATTTTCACTTCCTTTTAAGCATCTCCGATGGGAAAGAGAATTCCCAATGAATACTGAGAGAACACTGCCATCTCTTGGGTAAAAGAGGTCATGCATCTTTTAGCAAATACTGTAACAGGAAAACAAAGCATAGAATTTGTACTCTGATCAAACGTTTGAAATTTAAACCTAGCTCTGCCATTTGCTGTATTAAACTGGAAATTTTCAATATTTTAAAATATCAGTTTCCTGCCCTAGCTGGTTTCACTCAGTGGATAGAGCGTTCACCTGCAGACTGAAGGGTCCCGGGTTTGATTCCAGTCAAGGGCACATGCCAGGTTTGCGGGCCTAATCCCCAGTGAGGGGTGTGCCGGAGGCAGCCCATCAGTGATTCTCATCATTGATGTTTCTAACTCTCTCTCCCTCTCCCTTCCTCTCTGAAATCAATAAAAAATATTTTTAAAAGATTTTAAAATATCAGTTTCCTCTTCTACAAAATGAGCACAGTATCTGGCCTCTCTCAGAGATTATCATGTGTGGGGAGGAAGAAACTTCCATGCACACTCCTAGGTTTTTTCAGTCGGCCTAATATTTAAATAGACATGAGGTAGATTAATGAGAAAAGAAATTGAATATATACGTATGCATGGGAACACCACATACAGAGAGAATCAGAGACCCACCTACACAAGAGGTTCAAAGACAGAAAAGGAGCCGTAACCGGTTTGGCTCAGTGGATAGAGCGTTGACCAGCGGACTGAAAGGTCCCAGGTTTGATTCCGGTCAAGGGCATGTGCCTTGGTTGCGGGCACATCCCCAGTAGGGAGTGTGCAAGAGGCAGCTGATCGATGTTTCTCTCCCATCGATGTTTCTAACTCTCTATATCTCTCCCTTCCTCTCTGTAAAAAATCAATAAAATGCATTTTTTTAAAAAAAAACACGACAGAAAAGGAAAATGTGGTACATTTGACATTCTAAGCTAAGAGATGACGTTGGGCTTCAGAAGGGAGAAGGTCATTGCAGAACAATAAGAAAAGCAGACGTTCAGTAATTAGACAGTTTGCCCTGCCCTATAGGTAGGTCATAAAAAATTATTTCTGGTGATAACTCTAATTATGGGCAAGGCCCCTGATTTAAATTCTTTAAGGGAGAACTAAACGTTTGTGAGCCTGCAGGGCTTGAATACCTTCAGCTCAAAATAATTCACATGCCAAAGTAGCACATTTTGGGGAGGACTGTTCTGAGCCTCTACACATGACAGTCAAATCAGATAATGACGGTTAAAAGTACTTTGTTGATTACAAAGCATTTTATAAGTATGAGATATTCTGTCTTATTCCTTACTGCAAATCTAAGTAAATACCTGCAGCTTGAGGGTCAGAGCCAACTCATTAAGCTTTAGATAGCTAATGGCATATTTCTTTCTTTATATGTTAATGTAGGCTCACTATCATAATGTGTTAAAATGTGTTGTTGAACATAAAAATATGCTAAATCAGTGATGGCGAACCTTTTGAGCTCGGCATGTCAGCATTTTGAAAAACCCTAACTTAACTCTGGTGCCGTGTCACATATAGAAATTTTTTGATATTTGCAACCATAGTAAAACAAAGACATACTTTTGATATTTATTTTATATATTTAAATGCCATTTAACAAAGAAAAATCAACCAAAAAAATGAGTTCGCGTGTCACCTCTGACACGCGTGTCGTAGGTTCGCCATCACTGTAAATTAAAACTACACGGAGACACACTATTTCTCAGCTATCAGACTGGCAAAAACCCAAAAGCCTAACAACAAACTGGTGGAGATATTGTGTTAAAATAGCACTTTTATATATTTTTTGTGGAAGGGCCAAAGTGCATAGCTCCTTTTTTTCACACTATCTAGCAAAATTACATGTGCTTTTACCCTTCAACCTAAAAGTTCTACTCGCAGGAATATATCCGAAAGATACAATGGTAAAATTAAGAAAAGACAATATATATAAGGCATATTCATACTAGTAAGGAAGGAAGCTATCAAAAACTGCTGGGTTGTTTTACTGCATACCTCAAATTAATGATCTCAAAATGAGATTTGAATTTTTTAAAAATATATTTTATTGATTTTACAGAGAGGAAGGGAGAGGGATAGAGTTAGAAACATCGATGGGAGAGAAACATCGATCAGCTGCCTCCTGCACACCTCCCACTGGGGATGTGCCCGCAACCAAGGTACATGCCCTTGACCGGAATCGAACCTGGACCTTTCAGTCCGCAGGCCGATGCTCTTATCCACTGAGCCAAACCGGTTAGGGCAAGATTTTAATTTTTAATGAGTACCTTGTAAGAGGTAATATCAAAATCATAAAATTAAGATTGATACGTGTTGTGAGTCATATCTAAGTGTAGGTATAGCCTGGCTGGTGTGGCTCAATGGTTGAGTGTCGATCTGTGAATCAGGAGGTCACGATTCAATTTCCCATCAAGGCATACACCCGGATAAATAAATAAACGTAGATATAAATAGAAATTTTACTTTCTGTTTTAATTTCAGGGGAACTACTATTTGGGAAAGCTATTACGTAAATGACTTTTTTACAGTTATACCCTAATGATTCTAGCAAGTTCTTCTAAGATATACATCAAACCTAGCACACACTGAAAATCCACATTAAAAACTAAGAGGCCCTAGTTTTCATTTAAGTATTCATTAAAACACTTATTTTTCTATTGTAACAAATGTGACGTTTTTTATTGTTAATAAAGGAATCTGTCGCCCTGGCTGGTTTGGCTCAGTGGATAGAGAGTCGGCCTGCACTCTAGAAGGTCCGGGTTTGATTCTAGTCAAGGGCAAACACCAGGGTTGCAGACTTGATCCCCGGTGGGGGGGCGTGCAGGAGGCAGCTGATCGGTGATTCTCTCTTATTGTTGATGTTTCTATCTCTCTCTCCCTCTCCCTTCCTCTCTGAAATCAATAATAAAAAAAAGAGAATCTGTCAACCATCAAAATAAAACCCACAAAACTACTAGGTGGTGTCAAGAAATTCAAGAGTCAATTAGAGGGGATTCCACTGCCAAAGATGGGACAATTTGAGCATCAAAAAGAATAACAATTGCAAAGAATGTAAACACATCAAAGTTATTAAAGGTCATAAATTCATAATAAAATTTTAAAAATATATTTCTATTGATTTTAGAGAGGGGGGAGAGGAAGAGAGAAAGAGAGAGAGAGAGAGAGAGAGAGAGAGAGAGAGAGAGAGAGAAACATCAATGATGAGAAAGAATGCCTCCTGCACACCCCACCTTGGGGATCAAGTCCACAACCCAGGCATGTGCCCTGACCAGGAATGGAACCATGATTTCCTGATTCATAAGTCCGTGCTCAACCACATTGCTGGGCATAATAAATTCTTATTTTTATTTTTTAAAACATATTTTTATTAATTTCAGAGAGGAAGGGAGAGGGGGAAGGAGAGATAGAAACATTAATTATGAGAGAGAATCATTGATTGGCTGCCTCCTGCACGCCCCTTTCTGGGGAAGGAGCCCACAACCTGGGCATGTGCCCTTGACTGGAATCGAACCTAGGACCCTTCAGTCCGCAGGCCGATGCTCTATCCACTGAGAAAACCGGCTAGGGCTAAATTTTTAAAACTCTAACCAATCACCTTTAGAGGAATTACCTAACCAACTTAGGCAACCAATCGATGTTTCTTTCTCACATCGATGTTTCTCTCTCTCTCTCTCTCTCTC